CGGGCCTTGACCCTTTTCTGATGAAGGGTCTAGGCCCGAAACGTCAGCCTTCCTGCTCCTATGATGCTGCTTGGCCTGCTGTGTTCATCCAGCCCTGCACCTTGTTGTCTCCAACAGTGTTAGTTTTTCTAGTGGTAAAGGTTAACTGTTTCTAGTTGACTATATTGGTCAGTAAAACATTGTGATCTGCATCACCTGAAATTAGAGTTTTAAAATTATGTAATATATGTCAGGACTTAGCACAGAATTGATCATTTATTCCATTGTCAGCACTTCTCAGACCAGCCTGATTTCCTCTCTCTATTTCTTTGTCAGCTGTTTCACCACCAAATTGCTACTCCAGTCCTTCATGACTCCTCATACATTGTTCACTCCTGTCATTAACCTAGGATTAGATTTCCTTGAACAAACCTTTTAGCCACTCTGGCTGCTCCTCCTGGCATCCTCGAATGGATCCAACATGGCAACCCGCATGTGGCTTAGGAATAGTAAAATCCTTCTCTTTCACCAAACGTCCCACATTTCTACACATTTGGAGCTAACCTCAGTCAGCGGCTTCTTATCCCATGAACCTCACCAATCACTGCCCTGAATAATCATTGCTCCACTTTGCATTTTCATCCAGATTGCCAGCCCAGTTCTGAGCGAGCTTCAGGTCACCCTCAACCTATCATGGATGATCATATTGCCGTCTAATCTTTGACTAAAGTTGACTCATTCTTCCTTACAAATAGCCTCCAAGTTTGGATATACTGTCTCTCGAAACATACCCATAGAAACTGCTGGCTCGGTGCCTTGGCCTCCAAGAGAAAGTAACACCGTGGTCTTCCAAGTGCAACTCTGGCACCATATCCTTCAGTCATCTAGACATGATTTTGTTTTTTTCGTTGGATATGGGTGTCACTGACCTGTATTTCTTAGCCATTGCTCATTAGCCATGAGAAATTGTTGGTGAGCCACATTCCTGAAGTGCTGCAGTCCATCTGGTATAGGCATACAGTGACATTAGGAAGGGAGGACCAAGCCTTGGGTCTGGTAACAGTGAAGGAATGACAATATATTTCTAAGTTAGGATGGCCTGGTAGTTGTGGCTGAGTGGTTAAGGTGATGGATTAAAAATCCACTCAAATCCTACTGACTACATTTGTCTGCATTTCTGTCTTTAACCATAAGAGGTAGAAACAGAAATAGGCCATTCAGCCCATCAAGTCTGCTTCATCATTCAGTGAGGTCATGGCTGACCTAATTATCCTCAACTCCTCTTTTCTGCATTTTCTCCATATCCCTTGATTCCCTTTACAGCTTAAAAATCTGCCTATCTCAGCCTCAATATACTTAATGATCCTTCCTCAACAACCCTTGATGGTAAGGAATTCCACAGATGCACCACCCTCTGAGGGGAGAAATCCCTCCTCACCTGTCTTAAACTGGTGACCTCTTATTCTGAGATTATGCCCTCTAGTCCTCGACTTTCCCACAAGGGACAACAACCTTTCTGCATCTAGCCTGTCACATCCCCTAAGTATCTTGTATGTTTCCATGAGGTCATTTCTCACTCTATGAAGTTCCATTGAATCCAGGTTCAACCTGGTCAGCCTCCTCTCATAAGATAGTCCAACCCTACCTGCTATCAGCCTAGTGAACCTTCTCTGGACTGCCTCCAATGCCAGTGTATCTTTCTTTAGATAAAGGCCCCAAAACTGTTTATCACATTTCAGCTGGGGTCTGACTAGTGCCTTGTATAGTTTTATCAAAACCTCTCTTCTCTCTCAAACTATGATCTTACCCTGTTCATTATAGGTTACAGGGACCAACATTTTGTTTTTGGTTGACAGGAAAAATGAAAAAGCAGAGTATTACTTAAATGGAGAACAACTTTGAAATTCTAAGGTTCAGAGGTATCCAGGTGTTCTAGTGGGTGAGTCACAATAAGTTAGTATGCAGGTACGGCATGTAATCAAGAAGGCTACTGGGATGCTGTCCTACATTGAGAAGAATTTACCACAAAACGAGGGATGTCATTGATTCAGTTCTACAAGGCATTGGTGAGACCACATCATGATACTATGTACAGTTTTGATCTGCTTACTTCAGGAAGGATGTAAATGCATTGAAAGCAGTTCAGAGGAGGTTTATTAGATTAATACCTAGAATAAATGAATTGCCTTATGAGGAGACGTTGAATGGGCTGTCTTGTTTTCACTGGCATTTAGAGGAGTCCAGGATGATCTGATTGAAGCCTAGTAGATCCTGAATGGTCTTAACAAAATGGACATGGTAAGAATGTTTCCTCTTGTGGATTCAGTTCAGACCTAGGGGGCATTGTTTTAAAATTAGAAGTTGCCCTTCGAAAACTGAGATGGGGAAGAACTTTTTTCTCTGAGGGTTGTGCAACTTTGGAAGTCTCCACCTGATGAGGCATTGGAGGTGGGGTTATTAAATCTCTTAAGGCAGAGATAAATAGATCCTTGTTAGACAGGTGAATGAAAGGTTATCAGGGTAGATGGGATTGTAGAATTTGAAACAGAAATAGATCAACTGTAATCATATCAAATGGTGGAGTTGTGTTGAGGGACTAAATGGTCTACTTCTGCTCTTATTTTGTATGTATGTACATTTATATATGAAGAGTAAGTTACAGATCATGGTGTCCCCAGATGTCATGTTGTCCTTGTTATTCTAGCTGATAGAGGTTGTAGATTTGGATTGCACTATTGATTGAACCTTGGCACATTGGTATCATACATCTTGTATATGATGCACATTACATGCTACTCACTGTCAATGTGAGAGGGAATGAATGTTTACCTTAGTGGATATGCTGCCAATCAAGTGGGCTACTTTGTCTGGAATAATATTGAGCTTCTTGAATGTTGATGGAGCTGCACACATCTAGACAATTAGAGATTCTTCCATCACACATCTGACTTATGCCTTACAGCTGGTAGACTTTGTGGAGATAGAAGGTGAGTCACTCAGCACAGAATTCTCAGCGACTGACCTGCTCTCGTGGCCACAGTATTTATCTGGCTGGAAAAATTCAACATACATTCTTTGATTTTGTACTTGGTATCTATATGTATAAGGCCAAGCATATATGTGTATTGTTAACAGACTTTTCACTTTACCTGGCAGTTTCAAAGACTGGTGTATCTATGCCTGCAGGTCCCTCTGTTCCTACACATTATTTTCAATTACACCAGTTGGTTAACATTGCCTCTGCTCATTCACCCTACTGAAATTCAGTTATTTGCATTAAATTTCATCTGCCATGTGACTGCCTGGTGAACCAGGCAATGATCTGCTGAATGACCTCCTGTTACTATTCTCTTGACTATTAGCTACATTTGAGCAGTGATTAATTTTGCTCCAGATTATTGTCTCTAAATATACTGGTTCCACTGATATTAAGCTGATGCCCTGTAATTGCCAGGTGTTTCCCTCTGTTTTTTTTTTGGAAATGGTTGTAAAATTTACAAATCTACCTGACTGCTGTTACCGAATTGAAAGATTGTGGTTGGAGTCTGCAATCTCCATCCTTCCTTCCCCCAGCAATCTCGAAAGCATTTCATTCAGACCGAATTTTCTACATTGTGCACTGCCAACTTATTTGGTACTTTCTTTTCATCTATTTTCATTCTGTCCAATAGTACCATTTGCAGTGGCAATCTTATGTTTCAAAATGATGGTTTGTGTCATGGTGGTAAACTTTGTCTTAAGCATTACCTGATGTTGTTCTGGAGCTCTATTCCGGCCTGGCAAATTCTTGTCACATTTACTGCAGACGTAGACAGTAAGCTGCTCATCATCTTGGTCAGCTGAGATTTTTTTTTCCTCTACTTGCCTCTTCTAATGCATTTCCAAACCCAGGCTCTAGAGCTGATAAGCATCAACGACTATCTTCCCAATTATCAATGTCAACATCTTCATCTTCGTCTATCCTTTGCAACCACCTGTGCCTTGAGGTATGTTTGCCTGTGAGGTGACGATCCAGTGACAGGCTTCCTATACAGAAGGTCATTAGGAATAAGGCTGACATCTATCTCATGAACATAAGCAGTGCAGGTGTCATCAGCTTAACAATAGGTATATGCTAATGGTATTAGCACACTGTACAATTTATGAATTGGTGACCTTGTCCTGCAAAAGGGATGCCATGGATATGTCTAATATAGCAAAGGTGGAAACTGTTCACTTACTGAACACATTATCATTGTGAAGGATATATGAGCCTAAGAATGAGGAATGAGAGTAAGCCACTCAGTTCTTCAAGCCTGCTCTGCTGTAGAACAGAGAAACCTAAGGGTTCAGGTACATAATTCTTTGAAATTTGTGTCACAGGTAGATATGTGGTTAAGAAGGCATTTAGCATGCT